AGATTTCACATGTGGGGATATATATATATATTTCTCTCTTCCTTCATATCACCAAATTCTTCCATTTTTTTTGTTCAAAAGTGTTTTCATAGTTTTCTCTTTCATTCACTTCCATTACTTTAATGCAGTCAATCTAAGTCAAAATAGCTTTATATCTAGAGAACTGAAGCAGGCTTCAAAATGGTTGACACTAGTAATGGGATATCTCTCCAAACTTTTTCCTTTATTGGATTAAGATCTATGATAAATACAAAATAATTGAGGATTCTTAACTTACTTTTGGTGTAATATATAGAATATGGAAGTTATTTGATGGAGAACTTGCAAAATCACTTATTCCAATCACAATATTTTGATAGAATTTACTAGTGAAACAGTCTGGGCTTGGAGGGTTTTTTGAGGGGGGAACTTTTTGGTAATCAGTGTAATTTATTTATTAAATATAGCATATTCAGATTTCTGGTTCTTCTTGTATCAATTGTGGTAAGTTGTAGTTTTCAAGAAATTTTATCTAAATTGTCAAGTTTATTGGCACAAATTTGTTAATGATATTTTCCTGTTATCCTTTCTAATGTCGAGTGTCTAGGGTGGTAATTCCTGATACTGGTAAAATTTATCCTTTCTCTCTCTCTCTCTCTCTCTCTTTTTTTTTTTTTGTCAGTCTGGTGAGGCTTTGTCAGTTTTGTTGTCTTGGCAAAGAACCAGCCTTTGGCTTTGTTAATTTTCTCTGGTACTTGTCTGCTTTCTGTTTTGAAGATTTCTGCTCTGATCTTTATTTCTCTTCCTTCTCCTTACTTTGAGTATACTTCTTTTTTAGCTCACTAAGGTAGAAACTTAGGTCATTGATTATTTAACTCTTTCTCCTAATCTAACAGAAGCACTTAAGACTCTAAGTTCCCCTCTAAGCATTGCTTTATCTGCATCCCATAAATTGTAGTATGTTGTATATTCATTATCATTAGGTTCAAAATATCTGTAATTTCCCTCGTGATTTATTTTTTGACCTATGAATTATTTAGAAGTTATCACCTGGTATTTTCCTAAAAAGCACATTGGTTCCCGTTTCTAATTAATTCCAGTGTGATCAGAGAAATACTTTATATGAGTTCAGTTTTTTTTATTGAAACTTGTTTTATGGTCTAGTTTGATGAATGTACTATGTGCACTTGAGAAGGATGTTTATTCTGTAGTGCGTGGGTGTAGAGCTCTATAAATATAAATTAAATCAAGATGGTTGATATTGTTGTTCACATCCTCTATGTCATTAGTAATTTTTTATCTAGTTCTACCAAGTGTTGAGAGGGATCTTAAAAATCTACCATGATTTTGAAATTGTCTATCCCTTTAATTCTGTCAGTTTTTGCTTCCTGTAATTTGAAGCTCTTATTAGATGCCTATCCATTTATAATTGCTAAGTCTTCCTGATGAATTGTCTTTTTTATAATTATGAAATGTCCCTTCTTTATCTCTGTTAATACTCTTTGACTTAAAGTATGTATTAACTGATATAGCCATTCCACCTTCTTATGATTACTGTTTGTATGGTGTATCTTTTATCCATCTATTTGTTTTTAACCAATCTGAGTCTTTATGTATAAAGTGTGTCTCTTGTAGACAGCATATAATTGAATATTGCTTTTTTAAAAATCCCTCCTGATAATCTGCCTTTTGAGTGTTTAACCCATTAATATTTAATGTAATTATTGATTACCACTTTATTACTCATTTTCTGTTTGTCCCTCTACTTTTTGTTTCTATTTTCCCCATTTCTTGCCTTGTTTTAGATTATTTGAATATTTTTTAACATTCCATTTTAATCTATTTATTCTTTTAAATTATACCTCTTGGCATTTTTTTTTTAGTTGCTCTAAGGATGAGAATATACATAATTAACCTTTCATAGTCTACCTAAAGTCTACCCATAGCCTTTGCTGTCACAAAGGGCCCTTGATGTTATAATTGTTACCTGTATTACATCTACATGCCTTAAGAACATCACCAGACAATGATATGACTTTTCTCTAAACAGTTATATATATATATATATATATACGCGCGCACACACACACACACACACATATGACATATATATTTCTTAAACTTAAGAAGAAAAAAAATCTTTAAAATTTACCCAGCTAGTTACCATTTCTGATATGCTTTCATCATTCTTGAATATCCAGGTTTCCTTCTGATATCATTCCCCTTCAGCCTGAAGAATTTCCTTAACCATAGTAGTAAGTAATAAGGAAATTAATTCCTTATTGTAGTAAAGTCTGCTGGCAACAAATTATCCTGTTTCCCTTTTACCTGAACATATCTTTATTTCACCTTCATTCCTAGAGGATATTTCCTATTCTGGGTTGACAGTTTCAGGTTTGTTTTCATTTTGTTTTATTTTCTGGACTCCATGATTTCTACTGAGAAGTCTGTGATTATTTAAATCAATGTTTCCCTTTATGTAATGTGTTGTTTTTCCTGGCTACTTTCAAGATTTTCTCCTTCTCTTTGGTTTTCAGCCATTGGATTATGATGTATCTAAGTGTGGTTTTCTGTGACTATATCTGGTTTGGGGTTTGTTGAACTTTCTGAATCTGTAAATTTCTGTTTTTCACCGAATTTAGGGAGTTTGGGCAATTATTTATTTTTCTGCTCTCTCTCTAGGACTCTAATTAGCTGATATTAGACTTTTTGATATTGCGGCACAGGTACCAGAGGCTCTGTCCACTTTTTCCATCATTTCCCTCTCTCTTCTTCAGTTTGCTCTGTGTTCAAGTATACCGATTAATTACTCTAATATTCATTCTCTTTTCAGGCCTTTCGGTGACTTTTTTATTTCAGATATTCTACTGTTAAGTTGTGTATTTCCATTTGATTCCTTTTTATGTGTTCTGTTTTCTTGGTGAGACTTCCTGTCTTTACATTCATTTCGAGTATGTTTTCTTTTACTTCATTGAGCATAGTTGAAAATAACTAAAGGCCTTGTCTGATAATTCCAACATGTGGGTCATCTCAAGGTTAGCATCTCATTATTGTCTTTTCTATTTAGAGTGGGTCACATTTTCCTGATTCTTAGTGTGTAGAGTAATTGTGCATTGCATCCTGGACATTGTGAATCTTACACATAGACTCCTATGGTCCTCAGGAGAATGCTGATGTTTTTGGTTTAGCACACAGTTAACCCAGGTAGAGTCCCACTTTAAGCTCTCTCTTGCCTGTGTGCACAGATGTCCAAATTCCAGTTTAATTTTAAACCTTTGCTGTGCTGCTTTGAATCTGCCCCATGGAAACATCATTAGTGGATCAACCTGAAACTTGGAGAGATTCACACATGGAATTAGGGAACCCCCTCCTCCAGCTCCCTCCCTTGCTGATTTCCCTCTTACTCCCTGGTGGGCAGCCTTGGTTGTCTGGGCACCTTTTCCTGATTCCTCTGGCCAGAAAGATGAGCAGGTTTTCTATTGGAGTTTTAACTGCCTATGACTTGCCACTTCATGACTACAGGCCACCCTCAAGGCAAAGCCTCCCGCCCCGAAATGAGAAACTCACCTGCATGTAAGTCACCTCTCCAAGTTTCAACTCCTCCCTACAGTCTGCCTGATTTTGTCACTATTCAGAATCCTTACGTAGTTATTTTTCACATTATGTTCAGAGTTTATGGTTTTTATCAGTAAGAGGGTTGGTCTGAAGGAGGGCTTGAATAATAAACGCTCGTGTCGTTTTCATGTATCCACAAAGTTAAATAATTTAGTCCTCTTTGTTGTCCAGTCCTAAGATGGAGTCATATGAGGCTATTCAGTGAAGCACAGTCCAGCCACCAAAAGTAATTAAAAGTATTTCAGCGACATTGGTCTCTCCCAAAGAAGTTTGGTGAGAAGCCAATTCAAAACCCACAGCAACACTTTTTAAAATTGTCTTTCTCCAGTACTCTCTCAGTGTATCTTATGACTGCATTTGCTCTGAAGCCTCACTCTGAAATACTAAATAAACTTGAACATTAGCCCATATATCCTTTTCATCTTTGCTTCTCTTCTCTCCATTCTAATTTTATCTTCATAAAAGCAATGGTTATTCTCTCTTTTCATTATAAGGCGATTAAACCAATCCCTCTCCTTGAAAATTTCTGCTCTTTTTGTTCTTATCCTGAGCAACTTAAACCCGGGAACCAAGATGGCGAACTCAGAATCTCCCTGAGAAATTGTAAATGTCCAAAGATGATGGGTATTTTTTTAGGAGGAAAGGGGTGAAGAGAATGAGAAAATCATAAATAATATGCTAGGGATAGTAACAAAGTTTTATAATTTATCGTTTGGACAGATTACAATGTTTTAATTTTTCTAAGTAAAGCATGACTCCAATAGCCCTTCTCTGAATTTCCAGGTGGATTCTAAACTCTCAGAATACTACCATTTATTGATGACTTAGGTGCCAGGCACCCTGCTAAGCAGTCTGCATACACAGTTTAATCAAACTATATAACAATCCTGTAAGGCAGGCGTTGTTCCCAGTTACAAATGAAAACACTCTGAGGGTCAGAGACGTTGAGCAACTTGCCCAGAGTTACCCACATAGGAAGGGGCTAGAGATGGGATTTGAACCCAGGGGAGAGTGGAGAGGCCAAGCTTCCTTTACTCCGTCTCCTCCTTTGAAATCATGGCCGAGCTCCCAGCAGTGTTTGATGGTATTCACCTCCCAGGTGGTCTAGCAGGGGAAGACAGGGCATGGTGCTGTGAAAGTAACATTCACTTCACAGAGGAGACAAGTCTTCCAGTCTCTGGCTGTTACCCACTTGCTGCAAAACCCTGCAAGCCCCTCAGCTTCTCTCATCCTTCCTTCTCCACGTCTACAACAGACGCGCAAGTGTCCTTCACGCAGACTTTCAGAACTGTTCTAGAAATAATGCAAGAAGAGTGATGCAAAAAAAAAAAAAAAAGTACGAGGCAAATAGAAGTGATTGCGATCAGTCTTAGCCCGACTCACAAACTAACACTTGCTTTTCTAAGTTTTACAGTTACGGCTTCAACAGAGAAGGACCCAAGAACAGCTGGCTAACCAAGGCATCATACCACGTGAGTAGCTGCATCTCTTATTGACTGATCTGTACCATGGGACCATGCAGCTTGAGAGCTGGAAAGCACCTCAGAGGTCATAGTCTAATTCCACGGATCAGTCTCCCCAGAGCCTCACAGACTCTGTGTCAGCAGGAACCCCAGACCTTGGCAAGGAGGCTTAGCCCCAAATGCTACTCACCTGTAAGCGCTTCCCTTTAATCATATAAAATTCTAATGTGGTGGTTTGTTTATAGGACAAACACAATTCTATGGGCGTCCATCCCTCTCTCCTACTTTTAGAATTGGATCTAATCACTCTTCTTTCCGGAAGCATCAATCACATCACCTTTTTCTCACCTCCTCGGTTTCACTTCTGTGTGGGTACCTGAGTCCACAAGTAACTGAATATTGTCCAGTGCTTCCTTTCTGGAATAATGAGCGGCAATACCATTCTAGTGTAAATGGTATAACATTGAATTACTGGCCATCATTTGGGTCAAAGAAGAAGGATTATCATATTTTTTAGAAGATATGTTTGAAATTTCCTGCCGGTTAAGCAATGGAAGCTAACTTTTGGTTAGCTATAGAAACAGGAAAAGTACTGGATAAATGGAATCACCACGTAAGCTCCTTTAGGTGACACTTTCGAACTTCTCACCCCAGCAAGATTTAAAAGTCAATATCCATAATGACTCCTGCAGAAATCCAGGTCCTCGTCATGACGGTGGCTTCAGGGTTAAGCATGTGCCCTTGACTGAATGTCCTGCAGGTAGTAACCTTGGTGCCCTGTGATCCAAGGTCCAAACAACTTAAGTGTTGTCCGTGCTTCAGAACCAGAACAGAACTAAGAATATTCAAGTCCCTTTCCTTTGGTAATTCAGGTGAAGTTCTTTGTTCATGGCTAAGCGCTACAAAGAATAAACAGCCAGTGGCCTTATGGCAGAACAACTTTTTTAGAGGTTTGCTAAAGCACAGAAGAAAGATCTCACCTTGCAGCTGAAAGGCTGCTTCAATAAAATGTACAGTGAGGAAGAGAAACCAAAGGTACAAGTCTGCGTGGCCTGTTTCATCTCAGTCAGCCCAGCAGGGCAGGTGCTAAAACCCCGGAAAGACCAAGAGTCTGCAGACTTCGAGACAGATAAAGACGTTCGCGCTCCATTGTGAGCAGGCCAGTCTTTTTCAGAATCCTGTTGCAGACACGTAGAATCGAACTTGTTTAACCACGTCCAGAAGAACGATTCACTAAGAATGGAGTGTAGGCAAGTCTAGATCCACCAGGATCCTCTCCGTAGACCACAGTCTCTGCCACGTGCCCTCAGATATAAGACGAGCACATCGGTTTCAGTGGGATTCAAATAACCTGTTCCTTCACGGGTGTTTCTTTCCCTTAATTCTGGAAAGGCAATTGGAGTAGAGAGGCCTGGTACCTTTGCATCCCCTCAAGCTGTTCACAGCTGATTTAAAGTTTAACCTACGTGCTTAAATAGTCCAAGCCCGGGTCTTGCAGCTGGCTTTTGGATGAGAGTCAACTTTTGTTTGTAGGTCGCTGGGGTTAAATTTCAGGGAGTCAGTGAAACACCTAATAAAAATAGGAATGAACCCGAGGGTGCATTTGTACATAACACCCTTATGTAAGTCATGCAAATTGAACGTCCATTTGTAGAGTCGAATCCAATGAAGATAGAATATTTTGTTGTCCAGGATTTTCAGAATCAAATAGTGTACATATTAACGAAATACTGCTTGACAGAAATTTTGCATCCATAGCCCATCGTATGATTAAGATAATTGCTGGGGGAAAGTCCTAAGAGTAATGCAATGATATTTCTTTTTAATTCAGAAAAATGAGAAGGGTTGATTAAGCATCGTCAGTTTTCCTTACTCTTTAGCCGTCTCCTCTCCAGGCTTCCCAAGGGTGTCGATTCTGCTGTGGAAAAATGTCAGAGCCGCAGCAGGTGCACCCTGCAGGCCCAGCCCCTAGACCTCGATGACTTAGTGCTTCCGGGGAAGCCAGACCCAGTCGGGCCCCTGCACCTGCTGAGAGGCTGGGGGCCGAGATGGTAGCCTCATCAACCCAGACATGAAACATGCAGTCTGTTTACTCAGCGCCCCCCCGGGGGCATGTGTGTAAAAGCAGCCGCTCTAGAGGAAGGAACAGGAGCCCACGGTCTCAGGGTCCTTTCAGCTCAATCAAACTCAACACATTTCATGATGAACTTGGCTCTCTGCAGGGTGGTGTGGCAGGTGCTGTGGGGGGCCACAGTGAGCAGGACCGTCCTTCGCGGAGACTCGAGATTTCAGGGGAAAAGGTGACAAGAGACACAGATAGTATGAGTCAGGGTGAAACTAGTTATGTTCTACAAGAGGGCTCTTTATGTCTTCGTTCTATCATTTGAATTTTTTAAAGTGGAAGGAAAGAGGAAAGGAGGAAGAAAGGGGGTAGAATGGAGGGAAGCAAAGCCGGTAGTCATTGGAGGTCATCTAATTTACTGATTTTCAATGTTTTTTAATAGTTAAAGATAGTGTGTCTGTGTATATATATATATATATATACTCCCCTGGTGGCGCAGTGGTTGAGAATCCGCCTGCCAAGGCAGGGGACACGGGTTCAAGCCCTGGTCCGGGAAGATCCCACATGCCACAGAGCAACTAAGCCCATGTGCCACAACTACTGAGCCCACGAGCCACAACTACTGAGTCCGCGAGCCACAACTCCTGAAGCCCGCACGCCTAGAGCCCGTGCTCTGCAGCAGGAGAAGCCACCGCAATGAGAAGCCCACACACCGCAACAAAGAGTAGCCCCCGCTCGCCGCAACTAGAGAAACCCCGTGCACAGCAACGAAGACCCCAATGCAGCCATAAATAAATAAATAAATAAAAATTTTTAATTTATGGAAAAAAAATATATATATATACACTGACTGGAACAGGGTCGGGGTCCTCTGTCCCATTCACCCGGCTCCCCTCATCCCTCCTAGATGACCCTGATTATCCTCCCCAGAGCACTGGTCGTCTTCAAACAGAGTTTGAAAATCCCTTCCCTAGTCCACGTCTCATTGTCTTTAACCTCCATGAAACCGAGATTGGAGAGGCCTAGGAGGCTTTTCAAATATCCCAAAATCAGGGCCCAGTGTGGTCCTACTTACAAACCTGAACTGTGAGACCTTAAATGCACGCACGATAAAATTAGTAACACGATCTCACGTTATCCATACGTTGGAAATAATTGCAGTGCTCCCCCTGAATTTTCAAACTTGTCATAATTGCCTAAATGGAAAGCTTATGGCCAAGTGAATTGTCCATTGTCCTTATGGTGTTATCGGATGGCTCTGCAGTTTTTAGCTGATCAATGGAAACGCCTGGTCTCCTTGGACAGAATTAGTCATGAGTGGTACATTAGATTAAATCCCAAGGGCATTGTCCATTGCAAAAAAAAGTGCAGTCCACTCCTAGTGCGGCAGAGCTGAGGCACTCCTAGTGCGGCAGAGCTGAGGCCAGAACCCGTGTCTCCTGATCCTGGTGTAGGGCTCTTGACTCAAATATTCAAAAGGAATCACTGGAACTGTAAAAGCACTTCCTTAAGTTTCTATCATCAAGCATTTTGTGGCCAGAAAAATTCAGTTGGAATTTGGGAAAATAAAAACATGTATATGTGAAAATGCCAAGGAAAAGCCCATGGTTTTAATGAAATGGCTTTGGGTTCTACGTTGTAATCTATGTCTCACCATGACCAAGAGTGAATGGAAAATTCCACTGAGTTTGCTCTGTGGCTGGTCTCATTTCAAATGTGCACCAAACTGATGATGAAGTAGAAGGTTTCTCCCCCACTGACTCCAGTGGGACCATGGGTGATTTTCAGTAGACTAGTGAAACTGGTCCACATGGATTGAATTTAATTTCTTCCTCCTTCATGGGCTTGCATCCTGCAGGTTTCAAAGTTGCTGATGAGTAACCAACAGGCCACAGCAATCACAGAATCAAAGTCTCTTTTATAATCGCCCTTCATCACCTCTCTTAAGCATGTACTCATATCTTACTTGTATATATTATAGGTTTAGGATTTTCCCCTTCCGGTGCTTTGAATGCCCTTAAAGGCATTTTTCCTTGAATTTAGTCAAGGAAGGCACACGGCCCCTTGAACAACTTTAAACAGTGGGAAAGCGTTCTCGGGCCAGAAGCATGGGCCCAGGTTGGCTTCTAAGATTGCTTTCACGTTTATAGTATCAGTGGCGGAATTCACATTTTCCGAAGAGTCGTGAAATCTGAGTGAAATAGCCTCTCAACATTAACTTAGAAATATTACTTTAAGAATATATCGTTTGGACTCCTCTCCAAAATCCTACCTCTGAATCTCAAAACGGAGATTTCAAATTGCCTGCTTGTCACCATTAACTAGAGTTCAAAGGGATGGCTTTGCCACCCCTCCCTGCCAGGCTCAAGGCTGCAAGAGGACATCAAGGTTCTCTTATTTTCTCTTGCCTTTGAGATGGAGCCCAGGCTCGTCCTCTGGAGACCTGTGGATGGGGCTCAGATCTGTTCATTATTTCTCAGGCAGATTTTCCCCACTATCTTCTTTTCTCTGGGCATCACTCTCCTGGGTTGAATCTTAAATACCGTTTTATTCCAACCGTTTCAGAAGCCTTAGTGCAGAAAGACGATCAGCTCTGAGTTTTCAATGCAAAAAAAAAAAAAAAGAAAACAGTGGTCATAGAGCAATTCAGTAAATATTTTGACCATCTGCTGGGAGGAAGGCCTTATGGAACACAAAGGAGTCAGACATGAATTCTGTTTCAAAGAGCCTACAGTCCAGAAGTTTCCTCAAATCGCTCCTGCTTAGTTATCCCCATTCATAATATTGGATAATGTCCCACCGCTACATGGAGTGAGTTTCTGGGAGAATTGAAGGAAATAGATGACTTTCTCTCCCTTTCCTTCTGCTACTACAGTGGGGCTGATCTATAGGAACCCAGGGGAGAGAGGAGGGAACATTGAGTTTATTCTCCGGGAATATAGAAAACGAGATTAGAGAACTGAAGTGGATTACAGAGGCCCAGGGGCCCAGAGAGGCTGCGACTCCTCCCCAGAGACCCAGAGAAAGCACCGCTGGCCAGAAAGAAGTTTCTGGGCAGCCTGGTTCCATGGTCTGATCGATGTCAATGAATGGAAAGATACGATGAGCTGTCTGTGAATGGTGCTGCCTTTATTTGTTTTGCAGACTAATCCAAGCCTCAGCAGCCACATACTTACTGCAAAGCCTTGGTAAATCCCTGAATTCTGTGATCCTCCTGCATAGCAAGAAGAGTGACGGGGCACTTCCTCTACCCACAGCACATGCAGCTTCCTGATAGTTTTGAGACGTTGACGGGGCAAAGTCTTCCTTCCCTTCCTCAGTGCCTCCATCTGACTTGGCTTCTCCCCACAGCACCCTCCGTACCACACACTGTTGGCTGTTTGAGCAGAACACGGCACGAGGGTTTCATCTGTCCCTCTCCCCTTCCTTCTAACATCTCAAACTCAGAGAGAGGAAAAAAAAAAAAAAGGCGCCCTGGATTTTCATGCCAAGCCCCTTTGGGTCTAAAATCCTCACTTCTTTATTTCCCTCCCTCTTTCCTTCGATTTTCTAGTTCCTTGCTCCTTAGAAACTAGTAAACCAGTGATGACAGGCACCCTTTGAATTTGTCTTTGAACCCTTCTGCGAAATTCCAAAGTATTCATGTGTGATGCATTAAATTCTCCAAGTGCGCAAGCCAGGCCTTAAATATTACAGAGCTCCGTTGGGAAAATGCACTCTTTTCAGACCCCTGAGGCCATCCTTTGGGTACCGAATAGGCAACCTGTTGCTACCTAAAGAGTTAAGACAATTTCCAAGGCATTATCACACCCATAGCATGGAGCCCATTTGTTTGGGAAAAAAAAATACTCGTGGTCCAACTTGTCCTTAAAAACAGAGCCAAGAGAGGACAGGTACTACTAGATGCCTTTTGTAAGTGGGAAACTGAGAACACAGGAAACCTATCAGACGTGTTCAAGGCTGTTCCAAAAATAGATGGCAAAGCAAGGACAGAGCCTGCAGGGAAGGCTCCCAAAATTTTAGTCACTTTTTAAACTGTACCCATTACTGCCATAGGTCTTGCGTTGGAATTAGTTTTGTCTTCCTCCCAAAGAACGCTACATATGTGAATTATTAATCCATATATCTGTCTTTAATTAGTGGCATATAAGCTTACCAGCCAGTGCTTCTTGATGAGAACAGCCAGTTCTAACCCAAGTTATTCTGATTCGAGACAGCAAGTATGAGAAGCGGCAGTTTCATTGAACTAAGCAGCCTTTCTCTGGGCAAACACACCCTTTTTCTTCAGCTTTTTGAAATACTGAGAAATCAGTCCTAGACATCATTCCCCACTTTTTGAACTCTCAGTTTCCCAAGGACTCTAGATCAGCACCCACTGGCCTTGTAAACGCCGGGGCGCCAGGATCTCCCAGAGGGCGTGTACCAACACAGACCCCTCTGTCCCTCTACGTCCCACCTGAGCTTTGGATTCTGTGGGCCTGGAAATTGGTATTATTAACAAGTTTCCAGCTGCTGCTGAAGATGCTGGTGCAGGGGCCACACTCTGAGAACCATTGCTCTATCTGTTGCCCAAGATGCGGCCTCTCTGATGCTGCCTCTTGGTCCTTATCCGTATACCAGGGGAGCTGGGTTCTCCCCTGCAAGCCTGGCAGTGAGCAGCCCTGGGAGAGAAGGCAGGCCCTGCCTCTGCCACCAGAGCTGCTACCAGCCCCAGGCCCCTCCTCTGTGAGAGCCAGGCCCCTCTCCCTGACGGATTGTCCATGGCCTTGCAGCCTGTTTTCTCCTTTTGCTGGGCTCCTGCTGGAAGCAGGAGGTTAGCAGCAGGGGACCGCAGGAGGCCTGTTCTTATCTTGGGATCTTTTCCTGAGCTCTAAGTAAGCAAATGTTTATACACACAGCTGACCCAAATTAGCTGGAGCCGCGGGGACAGAAATAGGAACAGCCCCTAACTAAACTCCGCGGCGAGAACATGAATTCCCCTGTGAGAAGCGATTCATCTTCCTCCAGGCGGAATGAGTTAGACGTGGGGTTGACTGAATTTACAACCGTATTTTAATTTGAGATCACATTGACTTATTATTTTTTTTAATTTAGAAATCCAAATTCCTTTTCAATCCTAAATGTCAACGTCCCTTAAATACAAAATTTTGCCATTGGATACTCCCAGGGCTGGCAGCAAAGGAGGTCCTTTCTTCCAAAAAGTCAACTGGGATAGGGGGTGCATTATGGCTTTCGCTGGCCCTCAGGGGACGTGGCTAAAACCCACATTCTCTGGAATCACAGAAAAGGCAAATGTCAATCACAGGGCCCATGGCAAGCCAGATGGTACCCCACGTAACACCCCTTAAGGCCTGAAAAGAAGAGCGTGGGGTAAAGCAGTGTGTGGATGTTTTAGCTTCCTTCCCAAGTTCTGGCTAAATGGGCGTAGCCTCTCCCACCCTGGGGCAGAAGATCCCAGAAGACCTTTGTGCTCCTGGCCCTGGAGAACTGGACTGTACAATCATTTCACAGGGGAATAGTTAACACCAAGAAGTGATGATTTATAGCTCTGCAAGCTAAGATACAGGAAACGCAGTGTTTCATAGGAGAATTAATAAGTTCCGCAAATAAGAATTGAAAAACCTCAGGGATAAGAGAACCAGATGAACTGCCCCTAAGTCCTAAGACCAATTAAAACCAATTGAGTTTGGAATGTAAGAGCGATCTCAAGATAGATTCATGCTGTTCCCTTAGGGTTGCTTCTTAAGGCAAAGGCTGTGTTGCTCTTTTTAACCACTTAATAAGGCCACACTGAGATCAGTTCCTTTTCTGGATTATGGAAGAGATTAAGCCACACCAATGTATAATACCCACTTAGGTGACCACCAGACCGTCGGACAGAGGTGCAGACCTATGGGTTCAGGTTGTACAGACTCACCAGGGCCCACTGGACTTCAAGCAGATTAGTAGCATCTGGTTGCCTGGGGAAATGGGAGATGGTTTCAGAACTCCATCAATATAAATTGCAACTGTGATCAAGTGCAAGTAACGGCAAGCCTCCTGACTCAGGATGAGGGTCAGACCCAAATCAGAGAAAATGCGTGAGCAACGCGGCAGGCCTGCACAGTTTTCCAGATGATTCCTCAGAGCCACTGAGTGAGGAGACAGGGAGGGGGAAAGCGGCCATTGAAAAGGACAGGGTTGGCAGAGAGGCTCATTTTAAGCGTGAAAAGCAGCAAAGAGAAACGGGGGCTGTTAGATCCATGGGAAATATGATAGTCTAGCAACGGGTGATTCTTTTTTTCCTATAAGGAAGGAAGCCTCTTAGTCTCTGGTCAGATCGAGGAGAATAGTGTGCTTGTCCATTCTCCTCGGCACGAGGCAGCCAGCTGGGACTACTCTGTGTGTTCCTTTGGTCAACATTGCAGATGTCGGGGTGAGACAGGAAGACTTAGAGATGCCTTAGTAGCTTCCCGGGCAGCATCCTCAGTAGAGGATAACGTAGTCGATCAGTTGCCAGGACCACAGTGGAGTCTGCCTGCTGTCCAGCAAGCCCGTCTGAGAGCTGGGCTCAAATTCGGCATGGTCTTAAGGCTGAATGAGGCACACACACTCACGCACATGCACACACACACACACACACACACACACACACACACACACAGCCCCAAGTGCCCATCTGGCTAGAAATCCAACTTTTTTATGCCAGCCAAGGTTTGGAAGAATATTTTCTTGCCTGCCGCTCGAGAGTTGACATCTGTGGGAGTGAATATTAGAAACCTGGATCACGTGATTCGCCCACTTGTCCAGACCTGCTACCCAGAAAACTATCTGATGCAATTCTCTAACCTCTGAACCGCCTCATCACTTCTGATGAAAGGTGGTCCTTTACGGCTTCTGGTTGCAATTGTTCCAGGGGATCAGGAAAACCAGTAAAAAGGTAGAATTTTGCTGAGTGATGTTCTACTGCTTTGCAAAGTCAAAAGTTCAGTGCATCGTCCTGAGGAGTTGCTGGGACCTGGGAAGGGGAGCAGCGGGTCTTGGAAAGAAGGGAGGCTGGCGTTCGGTCCAGGTTGTTTCTGGCTGCTGTGAGCTGTGAGGGACCAGTGCCCTGCCTACTGGTTGTTAGTGTTTTGAGCATCACACCCTGAAAGAAGTTAGGTTGTCAGAAGACCTAGGCTCCTAGCCCTACCTGTGTGACCCTGGGCGAGGCAGTCCCGTTCCGTGGGCCTCCATTTCCCCATTCCGCTCAGGCTTGGAGCTGTATTTCACCATCTCCAAGGTCCCTTCCAGCCCTCAGAGTCTGATTCTGTGCTTCTCACTCACTGCCCTTTGGTTGCATGTTCCTACCCCACCAGCCAACTCCCTGACCCAAAGGACAAGTCCCCTCCTGCAACGTGGGACGAGGTTCCTCCACAGACTGCAGTCTCCACCCAGACTTGCGCACTCAAGGGCAGAGCGAAGTCAAACAGGGTGGTAGTCACCCCAGTCTCGCCTAAAGCTAGAGCATTGCCTGGTCTCCTCCCCCAGGCCTGTCCCTCCTCAGCATCTTGGAATGCCCTGTCTCTGCCACTTCTCTTCCTGTCGCGTATTCTGTCTCTGCTGCTCCTCTCGTTTGAGGCTGACGTCCGCCTTCCTCTGGATTCTCCGGCTGCAGGGAAGCTGGTGACCTCCAGGCCTTTCCTCTTCCATTGCTTGTGGCCTGATGAAGGCCATCACACGTCCATCACATCTCCACTGTGCACCGCTCGGCAAGCACACCGGCAAGCACCGCGACGCCGCTCCCGGCCCCAGGCCCTCTCTGCTCACGTCTGTGTCTTTCTGTTTCAGCCCTGAAAAGCCCACCTGAATTCCATGAGCAAAGAAAACGTTTGGATAGTGGCAAGGTAACTGTTTGCAAACTTCCCACCTTCCTGAACTCAGGCTCCAGCCTCTGGATCTCTGAATGCTAAGCTTGGGGGAAAGCGGGTAGAATTTCTCCTGCAAACTCAACTGATTTGCTGGTCCCCTCCCCGCACACCATGTGGAATCTTCCTCCTAGAAACTGAAAACTGTGGACATGGGATCAATAGTATTGGCTTTGAAGCTACTGTTTATTAGCTTTAAGAAAATGTCCCCCATCTTTCTGATGTCGGGGGGTATCCCTGCAAGGATGCGGCGGGGGTCAGAGAGACATGAAACAGGGAGGTAAGGTGTGTCGGCAAGCTGCCCTCTCTTTTCGTGACAGGCTTTTCTCAGCAACAATCAAATTATTTTAAATCCAATTCAGTGGTAGCGTAGGGCCTGCAGATACAGAGCTTATTCGTGGCTATTTAAAGGCAAAAGGAATTCTATTTATTTCTCTTTCTTTTAGCATTTGAGGGGGGGGGAATCGGTGTATATTCTGTACCTCCAGAGCAAATCTCCACAACTTGAATTTATCAGTACAGTAAGTGCTATTGAGCAAGCATCAGCAGTGTATGTAGAAGGAAAGGCCATTAGGTATCTTTCTCCTGGGACGTCTTAGCCTGGCAACTAGTGAGGGGAGGGGCTGGAAGAAGGAGCAGAGCCCTGGGACTCTTCAGAGTCACTCGTGAGAGGCTGGGGTTCCTTACTGCCTGGAGAATAATTGTCTTTCATCAGAACTGGAGTGATCCCCAGACTCCTCTCGGGGGCCAATTAAGAGATTCAGGATAGTGGGATGAAAACCCAGAACTAGAAATCAGAGCCCTGAGGTCCAGCCAGCGCCATCCCTACAGACAACTCCATCATCAAGAAAGCCATGAGACTCAGTAAATAACTCATCTCTAAGTGGCCTCCCAGCTTACAGTGGGTCTCGGTCTGCAGGATTGAGAGAGAGATCAAGGGCAAAACAGGAGGGGGGCACATGTTGTCATGTTTAACTGGATGGATTGAGGTTACATTTCATCTCTGACTCTAGTTAATTTCTGACTCTCTTAAGAGGCAATGGAGGGCTTCCCTGGTGGCGCAGTGGTTGGGAGTCTGCCTGCCGATGCAGGGGACACAGGTTCGTGCCCCGGTCCGGGAAGATCCCACATGCCGCGGAGCGGCTGGGCCCGTCAGCCATGGCCGCTGAGCCTGCGCGTCCGGAGCCTGTGCTCCGCAACGGGAGAGGCCACAACAGTGAGATGCCCGTGTACCGGAAAAAAAAAAAAAAGAGGCAATGGAATAGGATTGGCTCTCATGCAAAAGCAGTGTAGTATCATCACAGTTTTATTAATATTTTATAATTAGGTACCTGCCTGGCCTTTAAGTGTGGAGCGCTGAGGTGGACCCAGGCTTTTGACCTCTGTGTCTTATTTTTCTATCCTAAAATTATTAGAGGTCTTTGTGAGCCCTCCTTCATCAAGACATAGGAGAACAGAGATATTTGCATGTTGCATTTGTCAAACAAAAAACAAACAACAAACAAAAAGAGACATTTTCCCTTTGAGAGAAAAGGGGTTTCTTTTAAAGTTAAAACTAGGTGACTCAAGTGTATGAGGCTGATAGCAGAATTCATTCTGTGTGTGTGTCTGACAGGCTGAAGACACCCTGAAGCACAAGGTCAGAAACAGGTCCGACCGTGCAGACGTGGTGAAAATGCACATACTCCAAGGTAAGGTTGCCCAGAGTCATAAACTGGGGCCCATCAGTGGGAATGGAGCGTGGGCCATTTTCCAGGGTCCTTTGTCTCTGCACAATTGCTAACTCCCCTTAGAAAGGGTCCCCTGCCATTCCAAAGTGGTGGTTTTGAGCTCTCATCTAGTCATTTGAGGCCATGTAGACGGTCAAATGGAGAAGCCATGTAGTGGCCAAGAAGCACCAGACCTGGCATTCATTCTGGGCTGTGCCACCTCCCAGTTTTCTCTGAGCACATAAGGAGTGTCCAACATATATCAACTTCCTTTAAAATGTCCATCCTTCATACCAGTAATAAATGTCTAGTATTGTATCAAAAAATAATCAGACATACAAAGATTTATGTACAATGACGTTTATCATGTCATTACTTTAAATAGCGACACACTGAAATCAGTGGAACGTCAGAAAATAGTAGAGAGACTGAATAAATTATGCACCATCCGTGTGATTAAATAACTTGCGGCTACCACAGATGAGGCTTTAGAAGAATCATGTTTTAATGAGAAAAGTCTTACAAAGTGATGTTTAGTGAGGAGACCAGAAAACAAAACTATATTTACAGTCAAAATCAGGGAGGCAAAAATATATACATAAATTGTATTTACAGTCAGATTCTATGATGAAGAAATACAGACTTACCAATAAATACTGTATAAGTAATTAAGAAAGATGCCCAGTTATTAAAAGCAGTTGACCCTAAGTGGGGAGTTTCCTAATGCTTTCACTTCTTTTGCATAATGTTTTAGTGTTTTCCATACTTACAACAATACGTATGTATAATATTATAATCAAGAAAGCATCATCTGTTGTATCAGGCTAGTCTTGAATTAAAATATCAGGCTATGAACCACAGAAACCCCAAGTTTAGTCTCTGTTGGTTTCCATGAAACCCACCCTTCCCCCCCCACAGAAATTGGAAATTGGCCCCCTGGTGCACAAAGGATCTGCTAGATTATAAATGACCCTTGCCCTCCAAGGGTTCATGATCTGATTTTAGAAACAGAAATATAAGATTAGGGACCAGTGCTTGTAACTGCTGGGGGTAGTTGAAGCAGAAGGAAGCTGTAAGAACAGGAGTCAGGAAGACTTTGTTAGGGCGGGGAAACAAAGTAAGCAAAGGTACAAAGGTGACCTCAGGAAGATGGGGGGCGGGGGGCAGAAGGCGAAGGACCAGGCTCGCTGGAGTGGTAGTTTGGGCATCAACCATCTCAGGTCACGTAGGGGGTGGATTCAGTTTCTGGCGAGCCTGCGAAACTGGACTGAGAGATGGATGGAGAGGACCATCTTGGAGGGGATACAAGAAAGGAGTGTTTTCTGAGGATGAATCCTGTATGGCTGTGCAGGATGGGTCAGAAAGATCCCTGAGGCAGGGGGTGTAGCAGAAGCCCTTGCACTGGCCTGACGGGTAGTTGGGAGAGGATTTGGGCTTAGAAACTTCCATTTTGGGGTTTGGAATATGGATGTTTTCTCCATCCCACATCGAGTGCTTTGCAGATGTAGCTTCTAAGCAAGGCTGACCTGTTGCAACCATGAGACATCCCTAACCCTCCCCTGTGGAGATTTCTAGAGCAGCGGCCAGACACTAAGCCTGGGTTAGTAGATGGATATTAATAGAACAATAGGACCAGGACGTCCGTAAAGGTCTCAACTTCTAAATGTGCAGAGTTGAGCGGAAAGCTACAAACTCTCGTGGAACCCTAACTTCCAGTCCTGCGTTATAGCAACCACCGGCTCACAAGATTCTCTTCCACGTTCTTGCACAGAAATAAGTCTGGGCCTCACCCAAAGAGGAATAGAGCGGTGATTCAGGGCTTGTCAGTGACCTTTCCCACTCTCCCAAAGATGAGAAACTGCCTGTTGGATAAATTCAATTTTTTAAAATCCCTGTTTAATTAAATATTCCCCCCCAAAAATTGTTTTTCTTTTACAGCTGGACCTGGACATTTGAATCAGTAACACAACCTCAACAAGTCTAAAACTCTTGAGAAGTCACGCTACTACAATTAATTATAATAATAGATAATATTTACTGCCAGCTCAGCCTGGGCCGGGCAATATGTAGACAGGCTTTGCATGCAAATGCTATAGTTTAGTGTCAGCAAGCAATACAGGCCCCGTGGACTACTTACTTACAGAATCGCCAAATTGCACATTTTTTTTCCCCCAAATCCCCACAAAGCAAGTTTCTCTCACTCTTCTGTGCTTCTCTATTTGCCTTTATTTGGAAGTGTCTAGTCTTCACTGCTAATCCATGTGAAATGAGGATGATTGCATTGAAAAATTATTAGGATGGTGGAGTACAATGTGTCAGAGTGTTTGGGTTACAAAAGCAAAAAAAAAAACCCCACAAAAATAACATCGAATTCTAGAGCTGACCCTTTTGATTTTAACCCCTTAGGCTCCACTGCAGAGAGATCCGTTCCAACTGCTCAGATGAAGCTGAAAAGAGCCCGACTTGCAGATGACCTCAATGAAAAAATCGCCCTCCGGCCGGGGCCCCTGGAGCTGGTAGAGAAGAACATACTCCCTGTGGATTCTGCTGTGAAAGAGGCCATAAAGGGTAGGTAGCACAAATGAGTGGCACGCTTCCCTCCGTGCTGAGGTCTGAGGGCAGCCATGGCTCTGAAACGCTGGGGCCCTGGGGGTGAAGACCTCTCACTAGACAAGAGTCAATCCATGGGTCGCTGTTCCAGAGTGTTCCCCGTAACCAGAGGTCCGGGGAGTAAGGAAGAAACTGAAACCCGCTCAGCCTCCAAAGTCAGGTTAACATAGACCAGTCTGGTTCTGCTCAAGCAGGTTGGGGAGCTGACTTGATTTTAAACCTCAAAACATCTTCCCTGCAAGGTTCCATCACTTTGGGGTCCTGGCACTCTCCGCCCTTCCTCTTTTAAAGGGGTGTAGACTGGCAGAGTGGGAAGAGCGCTGGACCTGAATGGGAAGACCTGGACGCCAAGCCCAGTTCGGGTGCTGGGGCTTGGGGCTTCCCCAGGTCCCTTCACTCCTCCAAGATGAAAACCCAACCAGCCCAACTCATCGGCTCTTGGGAGTGAGGTTCAGTTCTTTAAGCACGTGAAAACTCTTTGACAACACACATGTGTGCTACACGGTTGAAGTACAGATACTGAAAGAGGAGACACAAACGTTAATTCTCTCATCAGCTGCGTAAAATCATTTTGTAGACCTTTGGAACAGTTGAAGCCACGTGGATCCAAACGGCCGGAGGGTCCTGAATTCCTTCACAGAGGTGTTGAGGTGGAATCTGGGAAAACCATGGTAGAAGGAAGAAAGGGGATCCTGGCATTCCCACGGGCAAATTACACTCTTCCAATGAAGCCTACAAAAGCTCTAAGAATTACTGATACATAACAAGCCATGCACATTTACATGTTTTGACATATTGTCCAATATTATGCATAAAGATGTTTTATGAAATGCTAAGTTCATTGTTAAACTTATCCACATTCTAAAATCGTGCACCCAACCAGTCAGAGGCCAGCCACATGAATTTTGTATTTGGAACCTGTAAATATGGAAGAATCAACTCTAGGGGAGACAGTATCCTCATCACTGCCCATTAAATATCCCACCGTGGTTTTCTCTCTTCTTTACTCTCTCTGTCCACACTAAATATCTTGTGCCTTTGAACTTGGACTAGCCCAGTCAACAGTGCACCATCCCCGTCTTTACCTTGATGAGATCTAGGACAGAAAAGATCTCTATCGCGTATCTCTTATCATTTATTGAAACATTATATTTATTCCATGCATGCAAATTTATCTTTGAGTTTTATATGATAGGCAAAATATCTCATTTTAAATCGCCTTCTTTGGTTTATAGAGAGATGGTGTTTTTCCCTGGGATCTTGTGTCATTGGCAATTCGTGGCTATTCCTTTTTTCTACTGGGCATTTTCTTCCCTCACTATAAAAGCTATTTATATATATTGGAAAAAAAAAAAAAAAGCTGATCCTCCATCTGTCACAGGTATTACACATCCTTTTACCAGCATGTCCTTTGCCTTTTATTGTTGGCTTTGTTTGATGTTTGTTTGTTCGTTTCTGTCCTTTGCCTTTTGATTTTGTGTGTAGTGTATTTCACCTATAGCAGTTTTTAATTTCTGTATCGTGCAATCTCTTAATCTTTTACTTTGTAGTTTCTGAATTTGTTATTGCTTATCAAAAACACTTCCTACCCCAAGAATAGAGTTATTCACCTATACTGTCTTCTAACATGTATATACTTCATTTTTATATTTTAGTCTTTACTGCATATTACATTATTTCAGTGCATGGTTTAAGAGACAGGTCTAAGTTTCCTTTTTGCACGATTTTAGTGGTGTATTTTATAATTCGTCTTAATATCTGTCTTCACAAGTTTCTTTACATTGGTCTGATTTTTCTAATGTTTCTTGGCTACTCTCACAAGTATATGGTGGGTGAAATTTAGAATCAGTTTATTATATTCCAACTTCAATCCTATTAGAATTTTGTTTGGGATTGCAGTGAATTTATAGATTAGTTTATGGTGAATTCATAGGTTTAAAATATATTAATTCTTCTGAGGCAGAAAGATAGTATCTCTTTTCACGTCTACACATCTTCTTTTATTTCCCTTGGTAAGGTTTTTTAAAATAAATTCACATCAGTTATTACTTACATATTGGAAACCTCTTAATTTTGCACATTTATTTTGTAACTGGGCATCTTTGAAGATTTTCTTAATTGTTCCGATAGTATCTCATTTTATCTTTAATTGTTTGCGTGGACAATCACATCATCTACAAATAAGGAAGATGCGCCTCCTGTTTGTTTTTTCTTTCTGCCTTGGAGCGCTGGCTGGTTGTTGAAAAGCAACGTCATGGAATTATTAATAAATTACACAATTAACATCATTTTAAAAGTTACATGCAGTATATTCATAACATAACTTCAATATAATTTTATGTATTTTATTTATAAATTAAATATTTTATTTGTAAATGATATATGTTATAATAGTATAATATACTATACAAATCTATATATATTTTATCATATATAAAATATTTATATCACGTAGATATATATCTTACATATAAAATTATATGTGTGAATTATATAAAGCACATATAATTTATATTATTTTGCATTATGCAATATTTCATTATATAATTTAAAAATTATTGCTATATTACATAGTAGACAATTATTATTCTTGGTACATTGCCAGTGCTTCAAAAGCAGTATTATATAATGTTATATATTTGTTATGTTGATGATAACATTTTTTTTTTTTTTTTTTGGCTGCGTTGGGTCTTCATTGCTACACGCAGGCTTTTCTCTGGTTGTGGCGAGCGGGGGCTACTCTTCATTGTGGTGCGCGGGCTTCTCATTGCAGTGGCTTCTCTTGTTGTGGAGCACAGGCTCTAGGCACGCAGACTTCAGTAGTTGTGGCACATGGGCTTAGTTGCTCTGTGGCACGTGGGATCTTCCCAGACCAGGGCTCGAACCCGTGTCCCCTGCATTGGCAGGCAGATTCTTAACCACTGCGCAATGAGGGAAGCCCAGTGATAACATTTGTTGATTCAGTCTTCAGTGGGAATTCCTCTGGTCATTCACCTCTAAATATGACACTAACTTGTGCTGGAGGTAGATGTTCTAAGGAAGTGTTTCTCTATTCTGTTCCACTAAGGATAGCTTGCAAGGTAGATGCTGAGTTGTTTAAATGCTTTCAACACGCATGAAAAGATGATCATATGGGCTTCTTTCTTTGATCTAGCAATGTGGTATTGCTATCTTTCCTAATCGTCCTTGGCATTTCTGGAAATAAATCCTCCTTGGATTTTTTTCCCTAGAAGTTGCTAGTATTTTATTTGAGACTTTACATCTCTTTTGTTTTTAGTTGGGATAACAGAGGCTGCTAAACAAACCACAAAATTTCAGCTGCTTAACAACAGACGTTTATTTCTTGTTCATAAACAGTCCAGAGAGGGTTTTCCTCGACAGCAAACCCTTCAGGCACTCAAGCTCCTTTGGTCTTGCTGCTCCACCATCCCCCAGAGCCAGGGTGGCAAACTTTTTCTTAAAGAATAAGCTGAGGTCTCTGAGCTGTCGCAGCTACTCATCTCAGCTGCTGTAGTGGGAAAGGAGCCATAAGCAATATGTAAACAAGTGGTCATGGCTGTGTTCCAATAAAACTTTATTTACAAAAACAGACAGCAGGCTCACAGGCCCTAATTTTGCCAACCTGTGCCCTACAGTCTCATCATCCTCTGGATCTAGCCAGTGAAGAGGAAAGAAAAAATGAAAAGGTCCACCCACATGCTTAAAAAGCCTCAACCTGGAGATGTACACATCGCTTCCACTCACATCCCACTGTGAAAACACGGCTGGCAGGGGTGGTGTTCCATGGCTGAACAGCGATTTCACAGCAATGTCTCTGTACTTCGGAAGGGGGAACATAAAATCTGACGAAGAGCTTTTAGTTAAGAGTCTGAACAACAGTCGTGCTCTGGGTACCAAAAAACGAGCATCTGAGAGGTAACTGACGTTGCATCATTAGATGACCGGTAGAATATGTCAGTGTGAACAAAAGGAAGAGTCAAAGATGACAGTGAGGTTTCCCTCTTGGTCAACTGAGTAAATGACAGCCATGTATCAAGAGTGGAGGAGCAGATCTGGGGAGAGATGATGAATTCCCGTTTCAACTGTTGCAGCTGATAGGTCTGCAGGAACTCCAAGGGCAGGGGTTCGATAGGCAGTAGATTTTATCCAGCTAGACTTCAGAAGGACGTATTGGTCTAGAGCTGTAGACTTGGGAGACTTTAGTGTGTATGGTGATTTAAACTGATGGACCCGATAAGCCTGCCCTTTCATTTATTGAGTTCTTCATTTAATATTTATGGAACATCTTCTATGTGTCAGACACTAGACAAACGTACAAAAATTTCTGCTCTAACAGAGCTTATATTATAGTGCAGGAGACACAGACAACACACAAAACCCATAAATAATTATATATCCCAATAAAAGGTGATAGATGCTATAAAAATAGAAGCTGCACAGGGTACAGAGAATCAGGAGTGCCCGGTAGACGGGGTGTGAAGGGGGAGCTGGGGGTATGAAGGATGTATAAGAAGCAAAGAGGGCTAGGGGGCTCTCATGTAGGAACATGTAAGACAGAGGCAGGGATCTGTGAAGAATAGAGAGAAGGCATAGCTAGCGAAAGAGGTGGAGGATATAGGTTGACCTCATCCAAGGAACGTCCATGCCTCAGGCTCTCTAGCGGTAATCTTTCAATGTGCATGAGTTCCTATGGGCAAGGCCGTGGCATCCTGTGAAGTGTCAGAGAGGCAGAGGGAGTTGCTCAGCGACCGGTTGTAGAGACGGCGCTCTGAATAGCCCTTCCAGTGGTGGTGGTGATGCCGACCCCTCACCTATCTGTCACTTCTTGGGGTTGCATCATCCACCCTCGGTGAAGTGGTGACTCAGGGCTGTGGTTTTCTGTGTATCCTTCTCCTGGCATCTGTGTATTTTTCCTCCTCTGTGCACGTGCCTTTCCAGATGTGTTTACATTTTCCAGC